GAGATTTGTCGGCTCATGTGAGATGTTAGATGACTGTGGCTGAAGTTTCTTGTCCAAGTGCATTTGCAAAACTCAGGCAGGACAAGCGGCATGGCTATAGGAGCTAATAGAACTGAAGATGGTTTAGTGATATCTTGTTGATACGAGCATACTAAGTGTTGAGCTATGATCCAAATTCAAGCTTGGGCCGAAGCGAAGCGGCCCATTAGCGTTAAGAGGGACTACACCATCTATTAGTTCTGTATTGCTAATAGACGAGGGTGTGGGGTTTTTCCTCCCTATATATACTTCATGTAAGCCATCGTCTTGGGATAAGAAAAGTTGTAAATCCCCGACGTTTGTAACCTCACCTGATATAGTGAAGATTTGCTGGCTGGTGCCCGTGGTTTTTTCCCTTCCACCTTGGGAGAGTTTTCCACGTTAAAATCTCGTGTCCTCTGTGCTTGATCTACTGTTCTTCGTCGTTTATATTGCCTATCATTTCTAACAAGTGGTATCAGAGCTTGGTTTGACCTTAGGGTTTCGCGATGGCATCAATAAAGTTTGATCTATCACTGCTGGATTACAAGACGAGATTTGCACTGTGGCAAGTCAAGATGCGAGCGATTCTAGCACAATCTTCGGATCTTGATGAGGCGCTGGACGGTTTCGGAGGAAAAGGGCAGAAGTCATGGACCACTGAAGAGAAGCGGAAGGATCGTAAGGCTCTGTCTCTGATTCAACTTCATCTACATAATGATATTTTGCAAGAAGTGCTACAGGAGAAAACTGCCGTAGAACTTTGGCTCAAGCTGGAATCGATCTGCATGTCTAAGGATCTAACCAGTAAGATGCACGTGAAGATGAAGTTGTTCACGCATAAGCTGCAAGAAGGTGGTTCGGTGATGAACCACTTATCAATCTTTATGGAGATCGTTGCCGACCTAGTGTCGATGGAGATAAAATATGATGATGAAGATTTAGCTCTTCTACTGTTATGCTCACTGCCTACTTTGTTTGCAAATTTCTGAGATACCATACTATTAAGCCATGATGAACTAACCCTTGCGGAAGTATATGAGGCCCTCTAGATGAGGGAGAAGATGAAAGGTATGGTTCAGTCTGATGTGTCGTCCTCTAAGGGTGAAGTGTTGCAGGTTAGAGGCAGGCCCGAGCAAAAAACCTACAACAACAACAATAATCGAGACAAGAGCAAGAACGGTAAAGGCCGTTTGAAGTCTAGAGGTAGGGATAAGTTCTGTAGGTATTGTAAGAAAGATACTCATGCCATTGAGGATTGTTGGAAGCTGCAGAATAAGGAGAAAAGAAATGGTACGTATAAACCAAAAAATAAATCCAATGGTGATGGTAAGGCCTCTGTTGTCTTCGCTGTTGATAATTCTAATTTAGGAGATGTTCTGGTTGTTTTTGCTGGTTGTGTTGCTGGTCATGATGAATGTATACTTGATTCTGCATGCTCGTTTCATATATGCTCTAACAGAGATTGGTTCACTTCTTACAAGTCTGTGCAGAGTGGAGATGTCGTGCGTATGGGAGATAACAACCCACGTGAGATCGTGGGCATTGGCTCCGTTCAGATCAAGATGCATGATGACATGATACGCACACTTAAAGATGTGAGACACATACCAGGGATGGCTAGAAATCTCATCTCCCTCAGCACACTTGATGCCGAGGGGTATAGACACTCCGGTTCAGGTGAAGTGTGTAAGGTATCAAAAGGCTCTCTCATTCATATGATAGGTGATATGAATTCTACAAAGTTATATGTTCTTAGAGGAAGTACTTTACATGGTTCTGTCACTACTGCTACTATTTCTAATGATGAACCAAGTAAAACTAATCTCTGGCATATGCGTCTTGGGCATATGAGTGAACTTGGTATGGCAGAATTGATCAAGATAGACCTGCTGGATGGCTGCACTATGGGTAAGATGAAGTTCTATGAGCACTGTGTTTTTGGTAAGCACAAGAGAGTAAAATTCAATGCATCTATTCATATCACCAAAGGTACACTTGATTATGTACATGCTGATTTGTGGGGGCCGTCTCGTAAGCCTTCTTATGGTGGTGCTCGTTACATGCTTACCATTATTGATGATTACTCTAGAAAAGTGTGGCCTTATTTTCTGAAAAATAAAGATGATACTTTTGCTGCTTTTAAAGAGTGGAAAGTTATGATAGAAAGGCAAACTGAAAAGAAGGTAAAATTGCTTCGTACTAACAATGGCGGTGAATTCTGTTTGAATGCTTTTAATGATTACTGCAGGGAAGAAGGCATTGTCAGGCACTACACCATCCCGTACACTCCTCAGCAGAATGGTGTGGCTGAGCGCTTGAACCAAACCATCATCTCGAGGGCTCGTTGCATGCTGTCCAATGCTCGTATGAACCGGCGTTTTTGGGCTGAGGCTGCTAACACCGCCTGTTACTTGATCAACCAATCACCTTCTATCCCACTTAATAAGAAAACTCCCATTGAGGTAGGTCTTGTATGCCTACTGATTATTTATAGTTGAGCATTTTTGGTTGCACTGCTTATGCTTATGTTGATAATGGAAAGCTAGAACCTAGAGCCATTAAGTGTCCATTTCTTGGTTATGGTTCTGGAGTTAAAGGATATAAGTTATGGAATCCTGAAACTAAAAAGACTTTCATGAGTAGGAACATTGTTTTCAATGAATCTGTTATGTTTAATGACAGCTTGTCCACAGATGTTTCACCAGTTGGTTCTGATGAGGTGCAAGAACATGTTAGCGTGCAGGTGGAGTGCGTAGATGATCAGGAAACTAAAATAGTTGATAACAATGTTCATAATATTGTTCAGCACTCACCTCCTGTTTTGCAGCCTCAAAATCAGTCTATTGCGGATCGCATAACAAAGAGGAGTTGTGGACCTCATCCATGTTTAATTGAGGAATGTGATATTGTTCGTTATGCCTTTAGTTGTGCTAAACAGGTTGAGAACATTCATGAGCCAGCTACGTACACTGAAGCTGTTGTTTCTGGTGACCGCAAGAAGTGGATTTTTGCTATGCAAGAAGAGATGCAGTCACTTGAGAAAAATGGCACATGGGATGTTGTGCACTTGCCTAAACACAAGAAGGCCGTTCGTTGCAAATAGATCTTCAAAAGAAAGGAGGGTTTGTCTCCTAGTGAGCGTCCAAGATTTAAGGCAAGGTTAGTAGCAAAAGGTTTCAGTCAGATTCCTGGCGTTGATTATAATGATGTGTTTTCTCCAGTTGTAAAGCATAGTTCAATTCGTACATTTTTCGGTATTGTTGCTATACGAGATCTTTGAGCTTGAGCAGTTAGATGTAAAGATTGCGTTTCTACATGGAGAGCTCAAGGAGGAGATATACATGGACCAACTAGAAGAGTTCTTAGTACCTGGTAAGGAGGATCATGTTTGCAAATTAAAGAGGTCCTTATATGGTTTGAAACAGTCTCCTCGTCAATGGTATAAAAGGTTTGATTCTTTTATGATGTCACATGGTTTTAAGAGGTCTGAATTTGATAGCTGTGTGTACATTAAATTTGTTGATGGATCACCTGTATATTTGTTGTTATATGTTGATGATATGTTGATTGCTGCCAAGAGCAAGAAAGAAATCACTACGTTGAAGAAACTGTTGAGTAGTGAGTTTGAGATGAAGAATCTTGGTGCTGCTAAGAAGATTCTAGGTATGAAAATTACAAGAGACAGAAATTCTGGCTTGTTATTTCTTAGTCAGCAAAGTTACATTAAGAAAGTTCTTCATCATTTCAACATGCATGATGCAAAGTCTGTTAGTACTCCTATTGCTCATTATTTCAAATTATCAGCTTTACAATGTGCTAGTACGGATGAGGATTTTGAGTACATGTCAAGAGTTCCATATTCTAGTGCTATTGGTTCTTTGATGTATGCCATGGTTTGCTCTCGTCCTGGTTTATCATATGCTATGAGTTTGGTTAACAGATACATGGCTAATCCTAGTAAAGAATATTGGAAGACTGTTCAGTGGATTTTTAGGTACCTTCGTGGCACAACAAATGCCTGTTTGAAGTTTGGCAGGACTGATAAGGGACTCACTGGCTATGTGGATTCAGATTTTGCTACTAATTTGGATAAGAGAAGATCTCTCATAGGTTATGTGTTCACTATTGGTGGTTGTGCTGTGAGTTGGAGAGCAACATTGCAGCCTGTTGTTGCCCTGTCTACCACTGAAGCAAAATGCATGGCTATTGCTGAAGTATGTAAAGAATTAGTTTGGTTGAAAGGTTTGTTTGCTGAGCTTTGTGGAGATGATTCTTGCATTAATTTATTTTGTGACAGTCAAAGTGCTATATGTCTCACTAAAGATCAGATGTTCCATGAGAGAACGAAGCATATTGATGTCAAATACCATTATGTTCACGATGTGGTCGCGCAAGGTAAGCTAAAGATATGCAAGATAAGCACACATGATAATCCTACTGATATGTTGACAAAGCCAGTTCCTGTTGCCAAGTTTGAGCTTTGCTCAAGCTTAGTTGGTATAACTGTTTAGCTCAAGAGGCTATTTTGGCACCGGAAGTATTTCTTTGTTGTTTCAGGGTGAATGTTCATTTTATGCTACAAGAAAGAATTTGTCTCAAGGTAGAGTTTGTTGAGCTATGATCCAAATTCAAGCTTGGGCCAAAGCGAAGCGGCCCATTAGCGTTAAGAGAAACTACACCATCTATTAGTTCCGTATTGCTAATAGACGAGGGTGTGGGGGTTTTCCTCCCTATATATACTTCATGTAAGCCGTCGTCTTGGGATAAGAAAAGTTGTAAATCCCTGACGTTTGTAACCTCACCCGATATAGTGAAGATTTGCTGGCTGGTACTCGTGGTTTTTTCCCTTCCACCTTGGGAGGGTTTTCCACGTTAAAATCTCGTGTCCTCTGTGCTTGATCTACTGTTCTTCGTCGTTTATATTGCCTATCATTTCTAACAAGTGGTATCAGAGCTTGGTTTGACCTTAGGGTTTCGCGATGGCATCAATAAAGTTTGATCTATCACTGCTGGATTACAAGACGAGATTTGCACTGTGGCAAGTCAAGATGCGAGCGATTCTAGCACAATCTTCGGATCTTGATGAGGCGCTGGACGGTTTCGGAGGAAAAGGGCAGAAGTCATGGACCACTGAAGAGAAGCGGAAGGATCGTAAGGCTCTGTCTCTGATTCAACTTCATCTACATAATGATATTTTGCAAGAAGTGCTACAGGAGAAAACTGCCGTAGAACTTTGGCTCAAGCTGGAATCGATCTGCATGTCTAAGGATCTAACCAGTAAGATGCACGTGAAGATGAAGTTGTTCACGCATAAGCTGCAAGAAGGTGGTTCGGTGATGAACCACTTATCAATCTTTATGGAGATCGTTGCCGACCTAGTGTCGATGGAGATAAAATATGATGATGAAGATTTAGCTCTTCTACTGTTATGCTCACTGCCTACTTTGTTTGCAAATTTCTGAGATACCATACTATTAAGCCATGATGAACTAACCCTTGCGGAAGTATATGAGGCCCTCTAGATGAGGGAGAAGATGAAAGGTATGGTTCAGTCTGATGTGTCGTCCTCTAAGGGTGAAGTGTTGCAGGTTAGAGGCAGGCCCGAGCAAAAAACCTACAACAACAACAATAATCGAGACAAGAGCAAGAACGGTAAAGGCCGTTTGAAGTCTAGAGGTAGGGATAAGTTCTGTAGGTATTGTAAGAAAGATACTCATGCCATTGAGGATTGTTGGAAGCTGCAGAATAAGGAGAAAAGAAATGGTACGTATAAACCAAAAAATAAATCCAATGGTGATGGTAAGGCCTCTGTTGTCTTCGCTGTTGATAATTCTAATTTAGGAGATGTTCTGGTTGTTTTTGCTGGTTGTGTTGCTGGTCATGATGAATGTATACTTGATTCTGCATGCTCGTTTCATATATGCTCTAACAGAGATTGGTTCACTTCTTACAAGTCTGTGCAGAGTGGAGATGTCGTGCGTATGGGAGATAACAACCCACGTGAGATCGTGGGCATTGGCTCCGTTCAGATCAAGATGCATGATGACATGATACGCACACTTAAAGATGTGAGACACATACCAGGGATGGCCAGAAATCTCATCTCCCTCAGCACACTTGATGCCGAGGGGTATAGACACTCCGGTTCAGGTGAAGTGTGTAAGGTATCAAAAGGCTCTCTCATTCATATGATAGGTGATATGAATTCTACAAAGTTATATGTTCTTAGAGGAAGTACTTTACATGGTTCTGTCACTACTGCTACTATTTCTAATGATGAACCAAGTAAAACTAATCTCTGGCATATGCGTCTTGGGCATATGAGTGAACTTGGTATGGCAGAATTGATCAAGATAGACCTGCTGGATGGCTGCACTATGGGTAAGATGAAGTTCTATGAGCACTGTGTTTTTGGTAAGCACAAGAGAGTAAAATTCAATGCATCTATTCATATCACCAAAGGTACACTTGATTATGTACATGCTGATTTGTGGGGGCCGTCTCGTAAGCCTTCTTATGGTGGTGCTCGTTACATGCTTACCATTATTGATGATTACTCTAGAAAAGTGTGGCCTTATTTTCTGAAAAATAAAGATGATACTTTTGCTGCTTTTAAAGAGTGGAAAGTTATGATAGAAAGGCAAACTGAAAAGAAGGTAAAATTGCTTCGTACTAACAATGGCGGTGAATTCTGTTTGAATGCTTTTAATGATTACTGCAGGGAAGAAGGCATTGTCAGGCACTACACCATCCCGTACACTCCTCAGCAGAATGGTGTGGCTGAGCGCTTGAACCAAACCATCATCTCGAGGGCTCGTTGCATGCTGTCCAATGCTCGTATGAACCGGCGTTTTTGGGCTGAGGCTGCTAACACCGCCTGTTACTTGATCAACCAGTCACCTTCTATCCCACTTAATAAGAAAACTCCCATTGAGGTAGGTCTTGTATGCCTACTGATTATTTATAGTTGAGCATTTTTGGTTGCACTGCTTATGCTTATGTTGATAATGGAAAGCTAGAACCTAGAGCCATTAAGTGTCCATTTCTTGGTTATGGTTCTGGAGTTAAAGGATATAAGTTATGGAATCCTGAAACTAAAAAGACTTTCATGAGTAGGAACATTGTTTTCAATGAATCTGTTATGTTTAATGACAGCTTGTCCACAGATGTTTCACCAGTTGGTTCTGATGAGGAGCAAGAACATGTTAGCGTGCAGGTGGAGTGCGTAGATGATCAGGAAACTAAAATAGTTGATAACAATGTTCATAATATTGTTCAGCACTCACCTCCTGTTTTGCAGCCTCAAAATCAGTCTATTGCGGATCGCATAACAAAGAGGAGTTGTGGACCTCATCCATGTTTAATTGAGGAATGTGATATTGTTCGTTATGCCTTTAGTTGTGCTAAACAGGTTGAGAACATTCATGAGCCGGCTACGTACACTGAAGCTGTTGTTTCTGGTGACCGCAAGAAGTGGATTTTTGCTATGCAAGAAGAGATGCAGTCACTTGAGAAAAATGGCACATGGGATGTTGTGCACTTGCCTAAACACAAGAAGGCCGTTCGTTGCAAATAGATCTTCAAAAGAAAGGAGGGTTTGTCTCCTAGTGAGCGTCCAAGATTTAAGGCAAGGTTAGTAGCAAAAGGTTTCAGTCAGATTCCTGGCGTTGATTATAATGATGTGTTTTCTCCAGTTGTAAAGCATAGTTCAATTCGTACATTTTTCGGTATTGTTGCTATACGAGATCTTTGAGCTTGAGCAGTTAGATGTAAAGATTGCGTTTCTACATGGAGAGCTCAAGGAGGAGATATACATGGACCAACTAGAAGAGTTCTTAGTACCTGGTAAGGAGGATCATGTTTGCAAATTAAAGAGGTCCTTATATGGTTTGAAACAGTCTCCTCGTCAATGGTATAAAAGGTTTGATTCTTTTATGATGTCACATGGTTTTAAGAGGTCTGAATTTGATAGCTGTGTGTACATTAAATTTGTTGATGGATCACCTGTATATTTGTTGTTATATGTTGATGATATGTTGATTGCTGCCAAGAGTAAGAAAGAAATCACTACGTTGAAGAAACTGTTGAGTAGTGAGTTTGAGATGAAGAATCTTGGTGCTGCTAAGAAGATTCTAGGTATGAAAATTACAAGAGACAGAAATTCTGGCTTGTTATTTCTTAGTCAGCAAAGTTACATTAAGAAAGTTCTTCATCATTTCAACATGCATGATGCAAAGTCTGTTAGTACTCCTATTGCTCATTATTTCAAATTATCAGCTTTACAATGTGCTAGTACGGATGAGGATTTTGAGTACATGTCAAGAGTTCCATATTCTAGTGCTATTGGTTCTTTGATGTATGCCATGGTTTGCTCTCGTCCTGGTTTATCATATGCTATGAGTTTGGTTAACAGATACATGGCTAATCCTAGTAAAGAATATTGGAAGACTGTTCAGTGGATTTTCAGGTACCTTCGTGGCACAACAAATGCCTGTTTGAAGTTTGGCGGGACTGATAAGGGACTCACTGGCTATGTGGATTCAGATTTTGCTACTAATTTGGATAAGAGAAGATCTCTCATAGGTTATGTGTTCACTATTGGTGGTTGTGCTGTGAGTTGGAGAGCAACATTGCAGCCTGTTGTTGCCCTGTCTACCACTGAAGCAAAATGCATGGCTATTGCTGAAGTATGTAAAGAATTAGTTTGGTTGAAAGGTTTGTTTGCTGAGCTTTGTGGAGATGATTCTTGCATTAATTTATTTTGTGACAATCAAAGTGCTATATGTCTCACTAAAGATCAGATGTTCCATGAGAGAACGAAGCATATTGATGTCAAATACCATTATGTTCACGATGTGGTCGCGCAAGGTAAGCTAAAGATATGCAAGATAAGCACACATGATAATCCTACTGATATGTTGACAAAGCCAGTTCCTGTTGCCAAGTTTGAGCTTTGCTCAAGCTTAGTTGGTATAACTGTTTAGCTCAAGAGGCTATTTTGGCACCGGAAGTATTTCTTTGTTGTTTCAGGGTGAATGTTCATTTTATGCTACAAGAAAGAATTTGTCTCAAGGTAGAGTTTGTTGAGCTATGATCCAAATTCAAGCTTGGGCCAAAGCGAAGCGGCCCATTAGCGTTAAGAGAAACTACACCATCTATTAGTTCCGTATTGCTAATAGACGAGGGTGTGGGGGTTTTCCTCCCTATATATACTTCATGTAAGCCGTCGTCTTGGGATAAGAAAAGTTGTAAATCCCTGACGTTTGTAACCTCACCCGATATAGTGAAGATTTGCTGGCTGGTACTCGTGGTTTTTTCCCTTCCACCTTGGGAGGGTTTTCCACGTTAAAATCTCGTGTCCTCTGTGCTTGATCTACTGTTCTTCGTTGTTTATATTGCCTATCGTTTCTAACACTAAGGAACCATTTAACTCCTCATTTTTAGTTTTGGCATTTGCCTTTGCAGCAGATGTCTGTAACTGTGAAATGATATCATCACTGGCATTCTTCTTCAGCATATCAGGACCATCCTTCTTTCCATACATTGCCTTGTGTTGCTCTTTTCTCATCAACTCCAAAGATGCTGCATATAGGGCAATGTGAGACAAAATCAATGATTGCAGCGGGGAAAGAAAAGGATGTTTTATGTTGTAGTAAGAAAATCTGACCCTCCGCTTCCTTTCTTCTTCTGTTGTATCCTCATTTGATAATTTAGAAGACCCAAATGTCTCATCATTCATTGAGTCAATATCTTTCCATGAGAAATGAGCAGCCTATCATTAATGTGAGAGGTACTTATAAAAATTCAAAAGATTGCCTTCTAAGATGATGAAAGGAAGATAGGGTACAGGCAGGCAGGCACCAACCTTGTAAGGACGTGGTGCATGGGAGCGTTCTGAGGTCCTGTTTTGCTGAGGCACAGTGCCATGATCCTTTGATGGCAACTGCCCAGCATATCCTGATGGACTGGGGAAACCACCACTTCCCAGTAGGCTATCGTGCTTTGTCTTTGGCCAATTGGATTTGTACTGGTTTCTAGAACGGCCTGTGCATGGCATCATTAGTAACCCCATAGCTTAAAGTAAGCATCCACTTTCCTAATCTACCTATAAACAGTATGGACAGGACGAAGTAAATGTGCATGATTTATTAACAATATGACCATGCAGATGATTGTTGTCCAACTCCCTCGGTTTACTATTGGTGAATTCAATGCAGTCATGTACCTGAGTAGACCACAAAGCTTTTGAAAGCCAAAGTCCACAATACAATGAGTACTATATTATAGGCAAAAATGGTCGGAGAGAACCAATTAAACTAATAAATCGTTGACTGCCAACTTTGAGAACGTAATGACTAATGGAAAACATTACACAAATAGAAGAGCAATTTTACCCTGTGTCTGAGACCCGCGATCGGGTAACTCCCCATCCTGACCGCTTGATCCAGATGAGCGAGTGTCCCACCTCCCTCTAGTGTTCCCACCAGGAGAAGAGTAGGTATAGCCCCCGAGGCCCCAAGCCATATGGTCGTCCCTGGATGTGTTGTAGTAGCTCTTGATTCTCTCAAGCACAGCCACTGATAGTTCCTGTAGCTCACTATTGGAGAAGCAACGACAAAGATCGTCAAACAGAAATCCCACTGGCCGCTAGGAAAAAGAACTAAGCAATAGAAAACAAGGCAAAATGACCTAAGAAGCGGTGTATCAAAGTCAGGGGGCAGCTTCTTGCAATGTTCCAACTCTCCAAACGATAGGAGAAACTCCCTGGAGTACACTATCCTCGTCGTCATCCTATCATGGATACAAGGGCAGGCCCAGTAAAGGATATAGGTGTACACATGTACACCTGATAAGTTCCATAGAGGAAAATTGAAATGGTAACATATCGAAAAAGAGCATACATATATGGTGGTGAAACATGATGTAAAATAGGATTTTGGAAACATACCGAGCCCTCAAAAAAACTGAATCATCATAAGGGATCCTGAGACTTTGACAGGAATGACATCTCATTTCTGTGCCATGTCATGTATAATAAAACAAATAGTTAATATTGTGGTGCTTGGATCTCCAACTTCTTGTCATTTGTCCTTTATGACATTGACCTGCAGCAAACTTGACCTCATGTACTAATCAGTTGTTTAAATAGAACATCAGTAAACACCTTGACCAAATTATATGAGTATAGGAATGAAAATTAATGGAACCTAGCAATGTAGATTGTTTCTCTGCCAAAAGAAAGTGCATAGTAACACAATATGACAAAAGATATCCCCTTAAAAGTCATTTAGGCATTCCCTTGAAAAAAACAAAACTATAAGGCAACAAAGAACTATTAGATTATTTCTTATTGTCTACTAAAATAAATGGAGGGAGTGTGTAGATTCATGCTGATCATTGTGAATTCAAAAGAAAACAACATACCTGACTAAAACTATAAGCGATGCAACATTCTCGATTGCCTATCAAAAAATTTATCACCTGAAATCCCCCTACTGCAGTTATCCTAACTTTTCCCCCTCTTAATTTGAGATGACCCAATGGCATGTTACACATTAACATGCATAATCAATAGCTCGACAACTATTATGAATATGTATGTTGCTATATATAATAAATCAACGACTGAACTATGCGAATCAAGATTATTTTCCATCATGCTTCCAAGTTAAGCTAAAGAATTAACTGAAGAATTCAGTGGAGGAGAAAAATAAGGTAGTGTAATAGTGTTTTTGATCATAGGTCGATGAGAAAGGATACTAAGGTGCAGAAATTGTCAGGAAAGGAGCACCAATTGATTTAGATTTAGGGAATGACAAACTCCTTGGATCTTCTTCCTAAAGTCAAGACGTGTGCTGCTCTTGCTCTCCCCACGTCACATGTGGCTGAAGATGCCCATGTGTGCCCCTACAAGAAGCAGCAGGAAGGACCACCCAGACCCAGAAAAGGTAGCGTGCAACTGACTTGCCCGATGCACCTTCTCCATGGTGGTAGCTGGCTACACAGCCAAATAATGTGATGCCTGTGACTTCAAATAGGTAGATTACAATTCGGTTCTACAGTCTAATACTGTCAATCTTCTATTTTGAAGTTGTAACTCTACTATAGTCTTCTAATACTTCCATTTTTCAAACAAGATCCAACTAAAATTTCTTTGAACAAGAGGGAAGGCAAGAGGTCATACCATAATTAGTTTCCCTTCACACCTTCTATCGATCAGTTGTCAGTCAGCCAAAAAAAAAGCTTGAGGCCCTCAGAGTATCTCCATTGTCACCACTTGAGGAAGAGCTCCTGCTCCTCCTCACCGAATGCCTTCTCTTATCCTTGTTCTAGAACTCAGCCATACACGTTGTAGCACACGCGTTGGCCCAAGCAGTCAGCATTGTGGTAGAAGACCATGTTCTCCAGCTTCAGCAGGTTGAGGTCGACATTGAGGAGTGAGTCATCCCCCACCAGCAGCACGCCCCAGATCAGCCTGGGATAAGGGTTTGTTCAAATTAATAGCGAGATCGTAATGGGAACCAAGCATCCTCCCAATCTAAAGCTACTCCGGATCTAAACAACACATCAAGGAAGCAATGAAACCTAAATAAAGCTACTACACATGTTGCTCAAAATCAGGTCCATGAAATGCAAATCATATAGTACACATCCAACTCATACAATCAATTCACAAATCACAAGGCAGTGGCACAACGTAAAGAGAAACCAACTAATAACATTCCGCAAACATTGATTCGGAGTAAGGCTGACCAACCATGGTTTATGAGGCGTCGCGTAGACGTCGCCTAGGCAACAAGGCGTGGTAGAGGTGCTGGGCGTCGTGGTCGCCATGACCTCTATGGGTATGGCATCCGCCTCATAGGATTAGGTGTCGCCTAGGCACGAATGGCGTCGGGCGGACACCTACAGCGCCGCAGGGGACGTCGGATGTGATTTTGCAGGGAATGGATGGGAAATCGACCACGGGTGGGCAGAAAATCGAGCGTGCATCCACGTTGGAAGACCCACGGCGGGAAGTGAGCGCATATATGCTCTTGCGCGGGAAATTTCCCGCTCGGTGGCATTTACTACGGGTGCGTGTAGCTTCACGGGGAGAGAGGGAGAGGAAAAGAGAAGGCCGAGGGAGGGGAACTCTTGGCGGCAGCCCTGCATCTCCGCTTGCTGCTCGTCTGCTCGAGTCCAGCGGCTGCCTGCATCTCCCATGAGGCTGCCTCTGCATCTCCGCCTGGTTGCGCAAGTCCATTAGCGGTCCACACCTGCTCGCCCATCTCCGTCGACCGGTCGGACCTGCACTCGTCGACCATCTACAGCTGCTCACCCACCTCCGTCGACCGTCTGTCATCAGCCTGGGCCTGGACGCTCCCTGCCTCCTCTCTGCTTTGAGTCGTCGTCGCCATCCGTAGGTCCATCCGCACCTCACCTGTCCGTCCGCTTTGAGTTGTCGTCCGTAGGTCCATCCGCACCGCACTTGTCCGTCTGCCTCGTGTCTACGCCTCCGCCTGGTATGTCCCCTGCCTCCTCCCTGTCTCTAGTCTCCCAAAGGCCAACTCCCTAGCATGTACTCTTGTAGTGTTATCTACTCTTCATGCTCTGCTTTTGCTCTGAATATAGTATGCCTCGTGCTCTGCTGCTCTGCTTTTGATCTGAATATTGTATGCCTCGTGCTCTGCTATTGATCTGAATATTGTATGCTCATGCTGCATGCCTATCCCTACCTCCTCTCTTGCTCTAAATATTTATTCTACACTCTGCTCTGCTTTTGCTCATGGTGTGTGCTTGTATGTACTCTGCTCCGAGGCTCTGAATATTGTAAGATGAACTGCTGATGCCTGCTTTTTATATTATATGGGTTGTCACTCACATATACAAATGGCTGCTTGTGCTTGGGCTGTCACACACCCTGCTACAACACAAAGCACAAGGATCTTTCTTTGATTAGTATAATGTCTGCCTCTGCCATAGTGCCATTCACTTGTGTTCTTTCTTTAGTTTACTGTTGTACAGAACAAAAAACATAAGGCTCTTGCTTTGATTAGTTACTTATTAGTAATGCTCTTGCTTTCTTTTATGTAGCATCTAGCAACATGGCAAGCTCAAGTGAAGCACCTGATTATGATCCTAAGACTAATCCAGCAAGGAAAGCGAAGTCCAATGATCCAGGCTAGAAATATGCCTACTGGCAAGACCCTGCTAGGAGAGACTGGGTGACATGTATCCTGTGTGGAAATGAGGCTTTAGGAGGCATAAAGAGGTTCAAGCAAGATTTGGCTGGTGGATATGGATATATTGTCCTTTGTCCAAAAGTTACCACTGAAATCAGGAAAGAGATGGAAGCTTACTTGTAAAAGAAGAGAAGGCCTTTGTTCTTGGATGGTATTGAGGAGGAAGATGGGGAAGATGAAGTTGTGGAGGTGGCAGCAGCAGATGTACAAGTAGGAGCAGATGGGGGTGCAACACCAAAACCGGCTGCAAAAAAACCAAGTTCTAGGACAGCCGCCAAGAGAAGGCATGCTACCTATCAATTCAAGGCTTCAAGATAGCTCTAATGAATCATGTAAAAGAGAGGATAAAGCTTAGCTTCAATATATCAACCAAGCAGGGCCTGCTCAAGCGTATCATGGACATTATTGAGAAGCATTGGGTGAACCAAATGGAGCATCCATTGTATGGGGCTGCACTATATTTGAACCTAGGAAAAAATTTCCTCTTGTAAAAGCTAATGACGATGCCACTGTTGGGCAGCTAAGAGGTTGTTTTATTGAAGTGATTGGAAGAATGATACTAGATGTGGAAACACAAATGAAGATCAATAGGTAGGCCATTGAGTATGAAGAGCAATATGGAGATGCCTTCTCAAACAAAATGGCAAAGGAAAGCTATGACAAAATGAGTCCTCGTAAGTGTTGTTAATCTCAACTTGTAAATTTCAGCAACTTAATTGCATTCCAAACTCCTAATATGTGTTGTACTTTTCATCTAGTTGATTGGTGGCGTTCTTATGGTGGCCGAGCCATTGAACTACAAAGACTTGCTAAACGTATAGTTAGTCTTTATGCTTCATCATCTGGTTGTGAGAGATGCTGGAGTACCTTCAATTTTGTGAGTATCCTTGTGATTAACAATTTCTATTTAGATGCATACAATCTGATTTTTTGTTTTGCTTCCCATCTGATTTTTTGTTTGTAGATGCATACAAAGAAAAGGAATAGGCTGCTGCACAAGAGATTGAATGATATTGTTTTTGTTTCATACAATCGGAAGATGAGAACAAGGGTTCAGCTTATGCGTGAGAAGGCAGGCAAGAAATATGACCCTTTGGTCATTGAGGAGTTTGATTGGGACAATGAATGGGCTGATTCATTGCATGTGCCCATTCCGGGTGCTCAAGGGTCTGATGCTATCAATGAGCTCACATGGCAGCATGTTGATGAAACCACCGGTGCATCACAAGCGCTGCAGGGTTGTAATCTTCCTAGGAGAGCTACTGCTACTCAACATTATAGTCGTTCAAGAAATGTTCCTGTTCCTGCTACTGAAGATGGAGAAGAGGAAGATGAAGTTGAAGACCCACATGATGATGCGGAAGTGAGCGAGTGTGAAGAAGATGGCAATGTTCCTGCTACTAAAGACAGGGCTGTTGATCCTGATGAGTTTGATGATGGATTTTGAGTGCTGAAACAAAGATTTGCACTCCTACTGATGGATTCTTTTGTGTCCTGCACCCTTGCTGTACTTTTGTGTTGTCCTGCACTCCTGTTGTATGGCTTTGGTGTAGTTGACTTAATTAGTATGCTTTAGAGTTCAGTACTTCATTCTAAGTTTGTGGACTATTTGAGACAGACTATGATGTCATTTGTCATGCTCATGCATGCACTAATGCTTGCTAATTTGTTATCTTGCCTCTTGTGTATTGTTTCCTATTTAATTCTCAACAATTGATAACCTGTTTGATTGCTAAATTCTGTAAATGTCATGCAGTTTCCTTCAAGGGGGATGGATGCTACATGGGAGAAGAGCTTTTGGAAAGGAAAGAAAGGAACATGGGCTCAAGAATTGGCAACAAACGAGGTATGTATGTGCTGCACTAGTATATAAAATTCTAGCTTACAATGCCTTACAATGTGTGTATGGCATCGCCTAGGCATCCGCCACAAACGCCTAGGCATTGTGAAGGGGGTCGGGCGCCGTGCCTCGCTGCAGCACCTCAAAAACAATGTGACCAACACACCGATAGGCAGATGATATGAACAAACATCTGAAGCACACAACAAGATACGGGTGCGTTCATGGCAGCAGTAGCACACATTTCTTTGACTCTATGAGCATCAGAATGCATGAACAAAATGAACCTCACATGAGTAGCAGTACCGGTACCACTTGGAGGAAGAGCACTAAGCCGATATTCTGATAGACAAGGTGTAACGAAAGAGAACGGCTAGCAAAATGGGAGCAAACACATGAGAACAGATGGTGTGGATGTACACACTAAGGCAACAGCAAATACACAACTACATCAAACGGCATTAGCATACAGACGAACAGAAGCAGAACCTATGGATCGAAAACAACGCTGAAGGCCACAAAATTAACGATACCACCTTAACAAATGGGAAGCACCTGTGGCCTTGCGCAAAGGCCAACCATATGTGAGCATACTGGGCACGCATGCAACATGTGCATCCATGCACAAATAGACCAAAACCCATAGCTAAGCGCGTCCATTGTAAAGAGCAGGGAACTACAATTACCCATACAACAAACGTGGAACCAAAACGAGGCGTGCCGGTGATAGGCAGGCGACTGCAGTGGACGGCACACCTGTGGCCATACACGCTGCAAGCAAAGGCATCAACACGGAGTAAGAAACTAAACCCTGACGCCAAGGGACGTTCCGGGATGATGCCGGTGCCACAAGAAATTACCTAGACAACTGCTCCGGGCCGGTGAACCAACGGCACCGAACCTGTCAATCAAGGCAAACATCAACAGAGCAGTGAACATGGTGTCGCATGTCGAGCATGAAGGGGAAAATGTGTAAGCAAAAAAAGGGATCGCAAAGAATCAGGCAAACAAAGCGTCGAACAAGACAAGGGCAAGCCCAACAAAAATGCAGGGGAAACACGGCGGGCGGAGGCGGTGCGGCGACGGTGCGCACTGTAGCTCCAAACCCTAGGAGGCCAAAATAGATGCGAAGAGGCAGAAGCACCGTGAAGAACCGACGGGAACTCAAGAGAGGACGAAGGCACAGGGCAAAATGGAACCATAGAAATGAGAAAGCATGCAACGGATGGAGAAGGACGAAACCACGGTGGCCAAGAAAACTCAATTAGACGGACTAAAATGATTTTGATGGAGTGGATGGCCTGAGAAATGGCCGAACTCCGCGCTCTTAATAAGAAGAAAAATGAAATGTGTCAAGACAAGTACGTTTGAACAAATGTGAACATTTATGGATCTTTCTCTGTCTTAAAAGTGGAGTTTTAGCAAAAGTATAGAAGATATTACAATTAGGGCCACAACAGGGCTAGGCGCCGAAAAGTTCTAGCATGTTCTAGAGGAGATCGATTAGATTGCAAGCTAGCAATCACTGCCCTAGATCAGGACAATACTGCCGGTTCAAAACACCCCATCACTGCTGGATTTTGAACCGGCACAATAAAACCGACAGCGATGAGGGTTAGCTATCACTGTCGGTTCCTACAAATCAGCAGTGTTTTGCAACTTCACTGCTGGTCCTTTACACAACCCAGTAGAGTTCAGTTCCACCAATACTGTCGATTCATGAGACCACCCGACAGTGTAACCTCGAACATCACTGTCGGTTTGTGTCTTTAGCCGGTGGTGTTGTCATAACTAGCACTGCCGGTTTGGGACAAGACCCGGCAATGATGTCTAAGCCAACGCTGCCGGTTTGTGGCTCAAGCCGGCAGTGCCATCTTGGCCATCTCTGCCAATTTGTTGCTAACCGACAGTGATGGTCCGTTCACATTTTATTGTTTTGTAATTTATTTTAATTTATATTTTTTCGTAGAATCGGGTTTCGCTTTATATACGCTATGTAGACGACAGGTCCATCAATATTAAACATTGAAAATGTTGCGGTTATAGTTCAAATGTTCTTATCAAGATATCGATCCCTCAAAATAAAAAAGAAATTATTCGATAAGATGAAGCATGCTTCTCGGACTTCTTACAATAATCTAGCGAGTCGCTCTGGGCCATACTAGTCCTTGAACTTCATGGATTGTGCAATGAAAAATACTCCATCTTTTTCCAATACCTCGGCTAAGATGAATTTTGCCAGCTCCTATTGCAATGCGACGATCTCCATGTCTAACAGCCTTTTGTGGTTATATTTCTTGCGCTGTTGTTCAAAAAAGATGATATCCAAAGAGGAATCAGAAAATCATTTTGTTGACTTATTAACAGACATAAATGAAATGGAGATTATACACACCAACTTATCTGCTTCTTCCAATTTTTCGCCGATGTAACGAAGCATTGCCCACATTACATAAAACCTGCATTCATTATTTCTCGTCGGCTGTTTTAGGTACTTCTCCTCCATTTCGACAACCTTGAATGGGACCTGCGTCCCACCGATATGTTTTCTTCAGACACTGTGCAACATTAAAAGGAGAAACATTAGAAAGCGGTATGTGTGATTAGGAGATAATATGTTATTAAGATCACTTACTAATTCAACACTGCCACCAGAGCATCCAGATGATGAAATGGTTTTTTCTTCGAGTCCCACACCTCGATTAGATTTTTAGCAAGATTGACACAAATGAAGATGAAATTGTTACTGCAATCATAGAATTCTAATTATCGAATAATCTTAACAAAAGAAAAGCATAAAATTAAAAGTCGAGAACACATACTCGTAGTTGTAGGCTAGAAGTATGTGGGTTTTGTTCTTCATCTTGAATTCATCGAAAACAACAATCAATCTCTCTTTTAGGTCTTCCATGTCACATCCATAGAGGCCTAAACATGTTTTCTCATTGACTCGCTCGGGGTCCAAGAAGCATATGTTATCCCATTTGCTTTTTAGTATGCAAAATTTTGCTATACACCTACATAAAATCATGGGAAGTGCTCAAAAGTTAACAATTTGTGTTTCGAGAGAGTAGTTAATTGTAATATCGTGCGTGTAGGGTACTTACATAGTCCACAGCGTCAACATTTGTGAATCGAAAGAGCGTTTCTGGTATAGCTGGAACAAGCACTCCCACTTGACATCGAACTTCTCTTCTTCAGGATAATGAAAAACATGTGGCGAACGGATAATAACTTCAAAACCAAAGTCCTCGGTCTCTGTTGCTTGAGCCATGTAATATTCATGCAAATGACGTATATATGTTGTCAAATTTTTATACTCGTCGTCGAGAACAAAAAGATTGCCCCTTTCATACTTCATTGCCGGTGTTACCATCCCTTGTACATCATAATAGATGTTCGCAGCCTCTTCCATGGTTAATTCGGGGTTGTCTTTGACGTACTTTTGTATCTTCCTTAAATCTTCATTGTGTATTTCTTCGGCTCTTATTGTAGTGTACTTATTATGTGTTTGCCTTTCGAATTCGGACTTCAACAAACACTAAGGCAGTGAGGCACAAAGATTGAAGAAACTAACACATTCTTCCTTCGAGATGTGTGCTGTAAATTTTGTCTTTCATCAAGTTTGTAACGCTGCCACTGAACGGTCTTTTGTTTTTTTGTTGGTCCACTTTGGGAGCATTAGCGACCGAATCTAAGGACCTTTTCTACGACTACGAGGATGCCTTTGATCTTGTTTTGGGCTGAGGTGGTGGAGGAGGATGACGACGAGAATTCTATTTTCTTGGGGCTGATGAAGATGGAGGAGGAGTCTTCTCTTTTCTTGGGGCTGATGAAGATGGAGTCAGACGAGGAGGAATAGAAGGAGACCTCTGTCTTCTCGAGGGTGATGGCAAGGGATGAGGAAGGGAGTGATCTCTATTGGGAGATGGTGAGTGATCATCGCGGGTGGGCGAAGACTTACAGTCATCCTTATCATCAGAGGACAATTGTTGGTCAAGCTTAATGAAGCGCTTGCGTTAGGCCACTTAAGAGCCCTTGTTATGACCAAGTTTTGGCCTGTCTTCCGCTACGAGGTACTCAATGTGTATCTTGTTATACTTCTTATCAAGTATTCTATCAATGGTGACATGAGTGTACCCCTGTAGAATTGGGTGGCCATTAATGGTCCCGTCTCCCGCAGGCCAGGCCTGGCCGAGCGCCACCTTGTCCTTTGTCTATTCCTGACGGATGTTCAACTTGACATTGACGGGTTCATTGATGCCATCCACCGAATGAGGCACGTTCGCATCTTCTTCACCGAGCGGGGTCGATCTGCAGCTGCTGCGACCCCTCAACTGTGGGCTAAAGGTAGTAGGAGTAGGATTTTGTGGTACTCCTGACCCCTTGGACAACAAAAATTGCTGGACTCGTGCTTCAACGGTTGCCTCAATTCGTGCGTCCATTCTGTCTTCCATCTCTTTTAGTCACCTCAAACACTCTGCCTCCTGTTCCGCTCTACCCCTCGAGCGGCTCTAGTAAGTGTGAGATTCTTCAGGGAATGCTAGTTTCTAAGGAATAACACCGGTTCCTCTAGTGCGACCAGGGTGCTCCTTAGTTCCGAGTGT